GGTCCAGAGGAAAAAGTTGCAGATAACAGAAATGGAAAAAGTGTTGTCTGGATTTAGTCACCTGCTTTGCAAGGTAGCAGGAAATTTCTTCCCTTAGTTTGTCACGCAATTTCTAAGAATCATGACAATGCTGAAGGAAGTACTGTGATTTGTCTCCATGGCAAAACCAGACCGGATAGCTTTCTCACAGTGAGCAAGCCTACATATAGCTCTTCGTATGTACTTGACTCACGTGAAGGTTTTAGGCACCTAAAAGGGATATAGGCTTCAGAGTGCAAATGCCATCTCTCTGATATCCCAATTGGTTGCTTTCAAACCTAGAAGTAATCTAAATCTGCTTAGCTGGGAGATGGAGTTGAAAATTCTGCTCCTCACAAGATATTTTTTTTCTGTGTTTTTGCCAATAGTTTTGCAACATATTATTGTCTTGAAGAATTTCAGATAAGGGTCCAAAAACCAGGTCTCCCATTTTCTCAGTGTAGATGGATTTTTCACCTCACTCAGAGCTGGGGTTTCTGCCGTGAGGCTACAGAGCCCCTCGGGCTGCTTGGTAGAGTGAAATCTTTGATACAGAACAAAGATTACTTTAATTCCAGAATAATTAATCTAGTTTTGAAGAATATAAATTCTTCTGGAATAAAAGTGACTTCATTTTGCAATATTATATGTGTGTTGTTAAATATTTTAGAATAGCTATTGCAAAATGATGTACTTCTCTAGAGCCAATGTTGTAAGTTTAGCTTTGTACACAGTTGTAAAATCACTGTCTGTCATACAGCTCTAGCTGTATGAAAAATAAATTTTAAAGTCACTAATTTTGGGGGGAAATATACTAAAGGCATTCTCGCTAAATTTTTATGGATGCTAAATTCCTACTGAATCAGGGTCATCTTCAATTTTTTTTCCATTTTCCATGTCCAAATTTAAAATCTGTAGTTCTTTCTACATTTTGATGTCAGTAACAATAACCACTGTTACTGATTCCTTCCTTTTTCTATCAAGGGACAACATCTTGATCAACATCGATTGGTGTGTGGGAGGGTATTCTGTGTTATCAAATAAAAATTAGGATGTAATAAATCAGTTTTTAAAATCACAGAAGATTAATTCAATGTAGATGTGAAATACAACTCATTTCATAAAGAAATTTCTGTGAAAATTATGTGCCACTTTTTCAGTTCATCTGGATTGTAGTCTGTATGATAGCAGCTATGTACTCAGTTTAATTTCTAACTTCCTTTTTGTTTATTGTGGGCATGTCAACCTACAGGTCCAAATTTGTAAATAAATGTGTGTTTGTTAAATGTATTTTAAACCCCTATCATAAAACCCTGACCACAAACAAAATTCTAATTTAACACACCAATGACAAAGGCCAAAACGCTCGCTTGTTTCAGTGGGGTAAAGGAGTATACTTACCAGGTTTAATGTCTGCTAATATGCAGATCAGTTCTGACCTTGTTCTCTCAGTTTTTGTGTGAAATTGTGCCACATATGGTATCCTATGTTCCTTGGTCATGTATTTGCTACAGATTAACTGGAAGATAATTCTACACTGTAATTAAACCATACATTCTCATTTAATTCATGTGGAGGGGTTTCTACTAGGCTACATAAGATCAATCGCATTTGTCAGCCTTCTACCAAATCTGGAAATAAAAAATTCTTATGGATACAGTTTCAGCTCTGTTTTGCATGTGGTGGTTTTATTTGTTTTAATTCTTTTTCTCTTTGAGATTTAAGTGTTTTTATCTCTTTTTTGTTGTTGTTTAAACAAAGTTTGAAAGCATGTGTTCAGCATGGTGTTTCTTTTGACTTTCTAGCATGTCACAGGATCTGTTGTAATTTAGCTGTATTTTGTCTTTATTTTTTTGTGTTTTCATAGCATCTGTTGATTGATATGGAGGTGTGACAACAAATAAGTGTATTTTCTTATTTGTAGACACAGAAATTAGTGTGTTTAGCTGTATTTTGGGTGGGTTTTTTGAGTTAAGTTCTACACCTGCTGTTCACATGCAACTCAAATTAAGCTCAGTAGGAGCTTCATGCTTTTGCATGAGATATGATGAGATCTTAAAATGTTCATTCATAGCATATTCTGTTATGATGCTCCTTATGATTCATAGACTGATTACATAACAAAAGTTCTGTAGCAGTTCTTTTAAAAAGTACCTACATTTATCATCTCAGTAGAGCACGTTTGTTATATTTACAAGAGGAAAATATACCAAATGCAATTACTTCACTTTGTAAGTTCACTGCAAAATATTATTTGAAGGAAGTTAATAAGTGTCCAAATGTAAGTGCCTAAAATGAGTTGTGGAAAAAGGGGTTATATGCAGTCAGAATTTAACAATTTCTGAAGTTGTAAGTAGTTCCTTTTTTTCCTTAGAAAATAAAGTTCTATGTAAAGTTTCATTTTACACAAGCTGCTTAATGTAAAGTCTCCCCGTAGGAATGTCCAGTGGCATATAGACAAGAATATAAATAAAAATAGTTTGAAAATGAATGGATGTTCAGCATCTTTAAAAAAAAAATTCTTCACAGAAAGCTAATTGTTGAGATTTGTATTCATGATGCTGGTGATTTAGTCAGGCTCATCATGTAATGAGCAAGTCTCATTCTCTTTGGTTTTATGTCCTTTATGTTTACAGTAGGGTAACTGGACCTTTAGACATCTTCTTAATTGAGTTTCCAGACGCTGTTTTGTGCATGTCTGAAGTGCCTGTATGTACAAGATTGATTGATTATAATGGTCTACTGCTGTTACTAATTTGTTTCCCATTTCCGATTGGCTTTTACTTTTTACAGCTTTGAGCAGTAATTCAGTCCCCTACGCCTCTCTGATTGGCTCTGTGTCCTCCCTCTCTAGCCAAACTACCACTCAGTCCTTATATGATAATAACTCTCTCCCACGATTCGCTCGAAAAGGTCTAAACATCTTTGTCTCTATTATTTTATCTGTTCAAGCACTGTTTTAGATGTACATCAGTCCACCTCCATTTCTGGATCAATCTAGAGTTCTCTTGTACCTTTTCACTCACATATTTTCTGTAGGGGTGCTTGATCTGGATCAATCAGTGTAATTATTAGATGACTGTCACCCACAATCATTTTGAGAATAGCCAAGTTCTATTAAGTGAAATTTCCAAGAAAATGGGAGACAACCAGAACTGATTCAAATAAATTAGTACTTACAGACTAATTTATTACTTGAAATTTATAAGAAATCTCCCCATTATATCTGAATATTCTCCTTTGTTAATTGACTGACAGCTTGCCTTAGTGTCTCCTTTAAATAATGTCTCACCATTGCAAAAGTGCTATGAAGGTAATATTTAAATGTATATGTATATGGTCAGAAGAATTAAGGCCAGTGCTGCTGGACATTATTTTGGATGCTATTACGATGCCTGAAATACCAAAGAATCAAAAAGAAAATACAAATTAAAAAAAAAAAAAAAAAAAAAAAAACCCAACACAGAAAAATAAGAAGAAAAACATGCTATAGTGTGACTATGTTGTAAACACATGGTCATTTTCAGCTACATTTAAAGGAAATGCAAGTTAACGGTCTTAGGCATGCTCTTGAAATTCACGGTGACAAAGCAAACTGCATTGTGCAACATGGCTTCCAGCTTGAGCCCCCTTGAGTCATCACTGTTTTCCTTTTGTAATATCGAGAGATCCTGGGGTTCACTAGCTTAATTTTTCTAGCCAGCTCTGATTTCTTACAGCAAGCAATTGAAAACTCACTTTCATTTTAGGTATGATAGTATAAAGCATGAAGAGAAGAATGTAAGCATTTTGGAGAAGGGTCATGAAGACTAATAATGTGAAACCAACATGTTCATCAATTCTTGCCTGGCAAATCGTCAGCTGGCAGATTGTTCTAGTTGACCCCACATCTTTTCTGCATTTCTTTTGCCTTGCTGTCCCTATACTCCATTCCACACCCATCTCTATCTTCCCAGCTCCTCTTCTTTTTCGCTCAGTATTTTCAACAGTGGACAAAGATGTTTACACCTGAAGTAGATTGTAGGTACTTTTGGGGGTTGATAAATGGGGTTTCAGATTAAGCATATTTCAAGGTACTAGTGCAGTCAGTATGTCTGTCCAGCCAAACTGTACAACCCCTGCCTCTACAATCTGCTACTAGTGAAAACATTTTTGAAGCTCTAATTGTCTGATGTCCAATGTTGTCTTCAGTGACTGTTGTCTAAAAGCAATGGTGCATGTTATTTTAGTCATTCATGGTTGCATGTGAATGTCAGTCACTTCAAAATTTCATAAAATATTTAGTATTTCTGATTTAGTCAGAATATGTAGTCAGTCTTCTAGACCGTGATACATTATTATTAATCCTCAAGCTATCCATTTCATTTTTTATAACGTATTTTATAAGTTAGTTTTGTGTTGGTTTGAGGTTTCTTTGGTTTTTACCATTTTTTTTTGCAGGTTCAGGTGTCTCTGGTTACCTCGGTAACCTTCATTCTTCAAGTTCATTTTTCTTGATTATGCATAAATCACTTTGTTTTCTGTCAAAACAGTGTTCTTTCCTTTTTAGGGCTCTTTCAATGTCTGTTTCTCAGCTCACCTTTCCTCATCTAATTCAATGGAGTTTCATTTCATGCAGTGCAGGAGAAGGAGTTTGAAATGACATTGTCATTACTCAAAGCAGAGGTCAACATCAGGTCTAACTGTCTCATTTTTCCATGTCTAGCTAACCTCATTGAATCATATCACAGTAACACTTTCCTCTACACTAGGAATGTTTGCTTTGGGAATATGCTTGGTGACTTCTTTTAATTTGGCTTCAGAGCTCATCTATCGAGAGCATGTCCTGCTTTGAGTAACCAAACTATTTGCCTGCTTCTCTCACATGTGACATCTTTACTACTTACACATTTCTAGCCATTCTAACTACTGCACTTTCTAAATTTTAGAAATGCCATCACTGTAGTTCACTTTAAATTCTGTTCTTCTTTCTTGTTCAACAGGTATGGCCAGTCATCCCCCAATACCTATCTTGGAACTTGCAGATCACATTGAAAGATTGAAAGCAAATGACAATTTGAAGTTCTCACAGGAGTATGAGGTAATTTTCCCCACTTTCTCATTATTGAAATTGTTTAAAATGTCATGCTTTCTGTTTCCCTAGACCTTTCTCTGATATGTACCCACCCTGATGGTGCCAGTTTTGTATGATATTAAAACCATGATAAAAAAATACTCTCTGTGTAAGTGACTACATTGGTGAGTTGGCTCCTTTGCTTTTAACAGTCTATTCTTTTTTTTATAGGGATACATGTCAGGGACATTCCGTGGGCACATACTTGAAGTAATGTGTGAATGATACAGCACTTACTCTTGTACACATAAGCATCCATCTGCTGTGCTGTTAAAAGATCCTTAGATCATTTTAAAAATCTCCTGTGTAATGCTGACAGGATTCATAAAGTACAAGCTCCAAATAAGTTACCGTCCACTGTGTTAATTTTGCATGGATTAAAAGAATTTGCAATTACCTTTCTGAACATAACAGTTTCAAGACATAGTATTTTTCTCCTGTCAGTAATGCCACATTGATGATATGTGAAAGATGGTCTATAAGAGCATGAAAGAATTTAACTGGAAGAGAGTAATCATTTAAAGGCCACTTTGTCAGAAATCCATGGAGTATACCTCCACAGACAGGCATTGGTACTACAGAGAGTAACAGCCTCTCATGTCAGTAATTTCTAGCTAAAGGGACTTGGATAGCCATCCATTAAACACAATAAATTACAGCTGTTTTTTCAATGCCAATATGGTCTATGTCAAAAATATGTGGATAAATTATGCAGTGAACCATCAGAAAAATAATGCTTCTTTAGAGCATTTATGGACAGTCATGTCAGTGATCCAAGAATTAACAGCTCCCGGGGGGATCACTGACACAGTGTTTTCTTTATAGTCTGTTGTGTCACTAATCCTTGCCTAAAACTCCCCAAGACTTTGTTAGCACTTTGTGGAGTAAAAACCCATGTTGCTCTCATTTTTTTAGGGTATGCACGTTCATTATATTTGAACGCTTAGGCAAACACTCACAGTGCAATAAAAAACACTGAAGAAGACTTTCACATGTTAGGAACAGAATGTTCACCACAAAAAAAAAAAGCTAACATTTGGTACAAAATTGGCAATTATTTCTTTTTGTACTATGGGCAGATTCCTTGGAATATCTGTGTAGGAAATCCCATTTAATAAATAAAAAATGTAATTACAAGTTATATAATGTAGTATAACTTCCATAAAAATAAACAATATGCCTTTACTACCTCTTGAGCATGTTTTGGAGATCACATGGTTCTTCTTATGCTGTAATAGAACTTAAAAGTTTTGGTGTTTTATATTTCCATTATTGTTTAAATCCTTCAAATCATATTGAGAATGTAATCTTAACCATTTATAGCCAGCATTGTGAAGCTACATTAAATAATTAAATTCTTAGTATCTGTCCCTCCAGAACATTTTACCAGTCAGCGTGAACATCCCAGCTTTCACTTTTTTTTTTTTTTATTTTTTTTTTTTTTAACAAAACATACCGTCTGGGGCAGAGTGATCATTCATTCAAGATTAAAATGTGTGCAACTGTAGGTCAACATCAAGTTTCATTCACATTGCTTTGCCCAAGGGGGCTCAACATTTATCTTTGAAAACCCAGCTTCAGAGATATCACTCCGTTTCCATCTAGTCCAAGGTTCATCCATTTTGAAACAGAATTAGTGAAAAGCACTGCTATTTGGTTTCGTGATCTAGCCTAGGCAGTGGGCTAGGGCTGCAGTTTGATGATCACTGTAAGTCATCTCCCTGTCTTGGCCGTGCATTCCTGTTGTCTGTCTTGTGCCAATCCTGGCACTAGCGCATGTGCAGCTGTTCAAGAATTATCTCAGGAAATAGATTCAGCTGAAAACTAATTGTTTTGTTTTTCTTTGCTGTTTTCAGTTGGATCAATTCCCTCAACTAGCTCACCACATGTCTGCATGAACTGTAGTGCCAGCACAAGGGAGCTGGTGGGAACATTTGTCGTTGGGGATTGGGACCTTCTCTTTTGGTAGCAGTCCTCACTAATGTCCTTTAAAAGCAGCTATCCATTTCCGAGCAGAAATGGGTACAGATGGTAACAGTTCAGTTATTATCAGTTCAGATTAAGTTTGGACTGGTGACACTGAAGGAAAAAGAGATATTCTTCGTCTTCAAGAGTTAGAGGTGTAACATGAAGCTCAAAACCACAGACCTTTATTGATGGTAATAAAGTCCTCCAGTTAATTCCCATTTGGGGAAGCAAACTTTTCTCATCAGTTACCACTGATGTTTCGGGGGTTTTTTAATAATGCCCTTTCCTCCTTTGCATTCAGTTACTTTATTTTATTTTTTATGGAATTTCTTACACTGCATGGATTAATTTCTTCAAAAATAGACTGATAGTATACAACAGCTGTTATGACAACCTTGCGATAGCATAAAATAAAAAATATATATACTGCTGCCTGATGAACACTGACATCTCATCCATCTTGTAGAATTTCTTTCAGAAGGTTAGCTCCATTTCAAAACAATGTTTTGGGTTTTTTTTAGCATACCGTACTTCTGTTGCCACTTCAAACTTGTTTCACAACTCAAACACATTATATGCACCCTTTTATGCTCTTCAGAAGTATTTGAATGCTTGCTTCTGCTTCATCCTTGCTCCTCTTCCATCCACTGCCTTTTAATCAGAATTTCTTATCAAAATTGCATACAAGTTTGTTTTTCTCATTTTGTAAGAGTATCCTTGCCTGTTCCCACTTTCTCTTCAGACAGGCAAAAACCTCCCCTTCTCTTCATTACTTCCAAAAGAGAGAATAAAGTTCTCTCACAGAAGGCACACATCTACATGCTATCTCCTCTGCTTATTTATAACCTCTGGCATAATTTTCTGATGAAAACCCCTAACTTCCTTGCACCTTCCTGGAGAAGGTGAAGGAAAACTTCTTTGTAGACCGGGACCATGAGAGAAGACAGGATTGCTTTCTTCAGATAATCCCACACTCACCCCACTATTCTCCATTCATCTGGCACAAAGCTTCTCAAAAGGTTGTGTGTTCTTTTTTGGTTTTTTGGTTTGTTATTGTGTTTTGGTTTGGTTTGGGTTTTTTTTTTTACCCTGAGAATAGGTTCATTTTTGTGCTGTGTGAAATCTAGTTGAGAAAGAATCTGAAGTTGCCATTAAAGAAATAATAAATCCAATCTGCATCCCTCTGGGCTGTGGTTCTGAAAGGAATGCCCAGGGTAACGTGACAAGTTGGTAAAGTAGATATTACAAAAAAGTAAGTAGTAATATGCATAGTATAAACTATATATATATATATCCTCGGGGGGGGGGGGAAAGGAAAAAAAAAAAATTTTTTATTTTGGGGGGGGGGAAAGGAAAAAAATAGAACTTTTTAATTGCTATGATGTGGTAAAAGGAGTGTATTCTCCACTGTAGACTATCTTCCAGCTGAGTAATGCTTTCTATGCTTCAATGTCATCAGTTGGAGGAGTTCCTACTTCTACAGTTCTTCAGAAACTATTTGACAGCGTCTTCTTCAGAACTTCTCCTACCCCAGCTCTTTCAGGGGACAGTAATGAGAACACTGGAGACTTCTATCATTGCACTTCTCTCATAACTTTACCTTGAATACCAGATTTCATGCAACAACAGGGGCCAAGCTTTAAAGATTAAGACTATTGCAATATTTAAATAAACTTATAATTCACCTATTGGATAAAGTGGTTTTGTAGTTTTAGCGTAGGTAGTGCTATGTCTTCTTTTCAGTAAAGTTCATGTCTACTTCGAAATAATTCTTTCATAATCCTTCATTAGTTTTTATTAGCTTGCACTCCCCAAGCCTTAACATATTATTAGTTTACCTTGTTAACATGACATATCCTTTATGTCACATAGTTCTTTTGTATTCCCTAATTTAAAGCCAGGGTTCTTGACCCCAACTGATTATTATGAATCTTTTGCTGACTTTGGCAGTTTCAGTGGGATTTTTATGTAATGTAAGGCTCCATATGGACTTGACAGCTGCTAAGCAGAAAGCCATATTCATAAGAAACTGACCTTTATATCATACCTTCTTCTCAGGCTTCAGAATTTGACAATAAAAAGTGATCATGGAGATAGACTGAATCAGAACAGTAACATTCTGCCTACTTTATGCACTACGCTAGATGTATTTGTAAAGTAATTTACTTCTATAACATAGAACAGAAAATCTCTACCACCAAAGCACATTCCTGAGTCTTGTGTAAAATAGTTTCACATCTGTTATCTGAGATCTGTAGTCATAGCTTTAAACACCCTTAAGGAAGTAGGTTTAGATTCATACCATTTTTGTGTGAGAACATGTCACTGCAAAACAAAAACTGCACTACTGGTCTCTATGCGTTATTGTATGATACACTGTTGTATGTCTGTGGGTGCACTGGTTAAATTATCTTATGAGAAGTTGTATATAATTTTAGTGTTTTTCCTCATCGGGCTTTTTTTCTGTAAATTACAGACAGTCTTTTGCTTTAGCACCGATTATTGGAAAAGATGAAGTTACATTTTGACACTGTGCCACACTGCTGTACTATTGCAAGTTTTATTGTAGCTTTTCAGTATCATTGAGTAGGATCTGTGATAAGAAGACAATTTACTGAATATAGTACATTTATATTTTTATATTTCAAGCTGCAACAAGATAAACACTGAACACTAAACACTAAAACACAATAATTTTTATATAGTAGAAGCACATATAAAACTTATTATTGATATAAAACACTTTAAAAGTCCATGAAGAACAGATAACCTATTGAATGAATCTGTACCAAAGAAACAGCTGCACTTAACTGCCATATCATTACAGATAATAATGACTCATATGCAAAAATCAAATTCTTCTCCACAAAAATTTGTTTTCTGTTCTGTATCTTTGCAATAGTTTACTCTTTCTAATATTACGAACATCATTTATTGGTATTCTGTAACTTTACTTCCATAGGATATGCTCCACTTCCTGAGAAACAATTAGTGTAGTC